TGCAGCTCACAGTGGGAGACAAGCCAGCCTGTGTTGCTCCAGGCAAAAGAAGCAATTGCTCCTTCCCATTCAAATTCAAATCCTAGCCTGAGTGAGGATGGGGGAAACAGGCTTAGCAGAAGCCCTGAGGTTAGATTTGGGATATGAGGTGTTGTCTGAATTCACTTCCCTGTCTCAGACTGGTTCCGGCTGTATCAAACTCTACATGAGTCCCACTGAGGTTGCAACCAGTCCCACCCTCCAGTGGAGCCAGTAGGGCCAGGGGATCCATGTGGGGAGCTCCTTCCCTACCGAAAATGAAGCGATGCAAGTGGCTAACTTGAGTTGGTTCCTCTGTGTCCCATTGGTGTCTGCAACCCTCACAGCAAGCACAGTCCAGTGCACTGCCCCAATAACACCTCTACCCAGAACACACCAGCATCGTGGCACAGCACTGAACCTGTGCAGGGGTTCCATACACCTCCTGCTTGATAATACAGTTTGGGGAAGGGGAGGGAAGGAAAGACACCAAAGAAATGCAACGTCTCACTACACAGCCCTGCCCAAGGGCAGAGGAGAAGGTGGAGAACAGCCACTATCCTGGCAGCAGCGACTGTGCCTTGGTGCTGGGAGGCTGAAGGGAAGGAAACGCTGGCAAGCTGTTCAGGAGGGAGCTGTTGACAGGGGAAAAGCATCCCTGCATCTAGGAGCAATGTCATGACCTACGTGGGAGACTGGCTGTTAGGCTTGTATGGAAGGCTGCAAAAGATGTGCCAGGCAGCATGGCTGTGGCTGTACTATGTTGGCAGCAAGCACTGAGTCCAGCCAAGGATGGTTTAGGAAGGTGTCTTCCTTGGGTAGCAGGTACTGAACAGGCTCAGAGCAAATGGATCAACACCTTTACAAGTGTCAAGGTGTTTGCTAGTGATGTTAGACCAGACCATGGGACCAACATCCCTGGCTCGATCTTACTGACAAACTGCATGACCCAGCTTTGATCTCTCCAGGTCAGCTTCACTTTCGATGAATATTGACAAGCACTTAGCCTGCTCCACCACATCAGATCCTGCCAGAGTCCCGCTTATGGCTGGACTGGAGCTTCAGCAAAGAGAACCGCCCCCAAAACCCAGCTAGATGATGCAGGGGAAACCTCCATGTGATATTCTTGCTGATCCCTGTTGCCACATGGCTTGAAATAGAAAGATTTTATTTTAAAATCCTGACAGGTCTCTACCAGTGTCTTTGCACATCGGTGGATTTGCTCCAATTGAGCTTTGGACCAAACCAGTGCCTGGTTGCAGGAAGTCCCCAGAAAGTGACCTTAATACATGCTGCTTTGTGGTGTCACTGGACACCTCCATCAGGTATGTGATGGGACAGGTGACTGGGTGACATGGCTGTACTCTGGGTTAGCTCTCTGTCCCACTCAGCTCACCGAGTCTGTGAGTCCTCCAGCACTGGGAGATGAAAGCTGATTAGAGACCACGGCTGCTTAGCTGCAGCTTGGCAAAACACAGAGAGCCCTTCGGCTCCTGATCTGAAGTCACCTCGAAACACCACTCACCTCAACTTCAACTAGAGCATCTGCTGAGCATCTGGTGGCCTCTGTCTGGGCACATCCCAGACCTTGGCGGAGGCTCAACTCCACAGGCGAGGGTCACAGCACCACCTGGTGAAGCTCTACGGCTTTGCTGTGGCTTGACCACGAGGAGGTGCTGCTGCTTCAGTTTCACCAGTGGGGCCATTAAAAAAAAGAAAAGAAAAATCAGAAGGGAGAGAAAAGCAGCAGAACACGCGTGTCAGGGCAGCTCTGCAGAGAGCACGCACAGTGCAGAGTGAGCGTGCATGGAGAGGGGTGAGCGTGCAGCGAGAGTGCACACAGCGCGACAGGTGCATGCGCGGAGCGGGGAGAGTGCGCGTGTGTGCTGAGTGCGAGCGTGCACAGGATGGCGTGGGTGGGCACATGGGCAGCGCACGCAGGGCAGAGCAAGCATGCACAGAGCACTGGGACAGCTCTGTCAGGTCCCAGGTGACAAGAAAACCTGCAAATCGATTCCCTGACTGCAGACACGGCCCACTTAAAGTTTGGTGGGTGACAGGTGCTCATGGGTGAGATGTAAAGAATTAAAGATGCAAATTGGTCCTTTCCCTGAGAGACAGTGAATATGGAGCTTCCCCTGTCCAGTGTCCTCACCACCAGGCTGCACCTCATCCTGCAATAGGTTTCTCTCCAACCCTCCTGTTAATGGTCGTGTTGTTCCAAGGTTGCTTTGTTTTTCCTGGAATAATTAATTACGCAGCATTGTGCGGGGTGAGGGAGGTTTGAGAGCAGGGCTGTAGCAGTCCTACACCAAGCAGGCAACGTGTGACAGGCAGCCCTGCACCTAGCTATCCTTTCTTGCTGTGGCCTTGAGTGCCACTGAGGACCTTGCAGAGGGTTTCTCCCACAGGGCAGCAGTCCAGGCTCCTGCTGTGGATGGTCCCATGGGAGGGGGCACCCACAATTTGGTTCCAGCCCCAATGAGCACTGTAATAACTTGGGAGGAGGGGGTCCTCTCCAGCTGCCCTGGGGTGGTGCCTCTTTCTTTGGGGGCTTGGGGCTTTAGAGCTTCCTGCAGGCTCAGAAACCCACCATCCACACTGAGCGGCCCTGGAAGAACTGAATGGTGACGTTGCATGGACCACCACCCATCTCAGCCACTCAGGCCCCCTGTACCCCTTTTCTCATCCATTTTGGATACCTGAGGGGTGTGCTGCTTCATGGACTCTGCAGTGGTAGCTTCAAGGGAGCAGATAGCTGACGTCCCATTGAGCTAATGTCTGAGGTGGAGTTGCTGGGTGCTGGCTGAGACCCATGGGAGGAAGCAATGCCCTGTGCACCTCTTTTTTCTGGCTGCATAAGCACAGTGAGCTGCACAGTTGGCACCTGCACTGCCCTTTGACTCTCTCCAGGTACAGCCAAGACCCTAGAAACCCTTTGGCTTTTGCTGGTGTTAGGTCAGATGTTAGTTTTAAAAATAAAAACAGCTCCACTCCAAAAGAGGTTCTGACAAAGAGCTTTTCAAAAGTCCAAAAAGTATCAGTTACTCAGAAAGGCAGAAAGCTTCAACTCGCTGTCCTGTCTATCAGCATCCCAGATCCCATCCTGCAAAGCTTCCTCCTGCCCCCCATCTGTCCTATTGCGTGGGGTTATCCCATGCCGGAGGAAGGACTTTGCATTTGTCTCTGTTAAATGTCAGTCGGTTCCTTCCAGCTCATTCCTCCAGCCTGTCAAGGCTCTTTGAATGGCAGCCCTGTCCTCCAGTATATCGACTGCTCCTTGTTTTGGTGTCTCTTGCAGACCTGCTGAGGGTTCAGGAGACTTAGCTGATGTACGCTGCCCAGCCTCTATTTTGGGGGTCAAATACTTACTCTTTTCCTCCACCTGCCCTGCTGACCCCATTTTATTTGGGATGCTGCACCTCCAGCTGCAAAATGGCATGAGCATTGCAGCTGCATTTTCAAAGCAGCTCAGTGGTCCTGCACAGGGGGAGCTTTGGGATGCAATATCAAACATCTCTGCCTAGATTTTTTGATAGGAGGTAGAGGTCTGGAGACATCAAGTGGCTGCACTCCTGCAGACAAGAGCCACAGATTTTGCAGGGTGAAGGACCAAGTGGCGAGGTGGCAAGGACAAAGCATTAACACAGGGCTGCAAGAGGCGGCACTAATCCTGCCCGGTGCCTCCCCCCAGACCTTTTGGGCAAGGCAGAGCTGAGCCTCACATTTCTGCCCCGTCCCTGCAAGCTTTGCCCTCCCAGCCTGTGGGATGGGGATGGGGACGTGAGGGCTGTTCCAGTCTCCAGTGCCACCTGCCGGCAAATCATGCCGGACAGATGCTGGAACCTTCAAGCTGGCAGCACCAGTGCCAGGCACTGTCCTGTGCTGGGGCAGGGAGACCTGTGCAGCCCAGAGCTGTGGGGCCCTGGACCCGTAAGGAGGCCCTGAGAGCTCAGTAACAATGCTTCATTAATGCCAGCCCATATCCTACTGCCCCCCTTTATCATCACCTCCTTCAGCCGGCCCCTTTCAAATCCCCATTCCCCACAAAAACATCCTGCTCCTACACACTGAGCACCCCGTGTACACCCTCACAGCTTCAAGCCCCACTGCCTGCCACAGCTGGGCTGGGGGCTGTAGGCAAACCCCCACCCAGGTGCAATGCTTGGTTGTCACCTGCCCCTGGGAAAGGGACATCCTTGGGGTCCTCAGCTTTTACTCATCTGGCGGTCCTTGGATCTCCAAGGGGGCTTGGCTCTGCTGTAGGAATTGCACATCGGTCCCCTGCTGGGATTATGGGGTTGCTCTGGACCCTGCCTGACTGCACCAGGGGATAGCCATGTGCCCCACACCTCTTCTGTCATGGCATCAAGCTGTGGCTTCCCCACATACACCTGGCTCATCTTTTCACAAGCTTTGACAAGCTTCTGTGGATATTATTGTCACCACCACTCCAAAAAAAAAAAAGGTCTGAGAGGTTGGCTTCTACCAGCCCCAGGGCTCTCCAGTAGAGCACCTTCTCCAGCATCTCCCCATCTACCACCAGTACCCAGTGACCCCAATTTCCAGCTATGTTGTGTGTCCTGCCCCCCCACTAGAGACGAGGCTCTGTGTTTTCCTAACCCTGGGCTGGGACTTTCTGTGGGTGACTCTGCAAGGAGATACTCAGCATGGGCTGCAGCAGGAGCTGCATGAATTGGCTGGCTCTGCTTGGTGGTAATGAAATACTAATGACCCCAGACTGCACCCAGGGGTACAGGAGACAATGCCCTGGCTATCTGAGCATTATTTGGGGGGAAAGAGGCAAATCATAGACAGGAAGGAACCATCAGCACAAGGAGCTGTCATTTAATGTGCAAGATCAGCAGCAATGGGCTTAGGGCACCGAATCTGGAGCAAAGAGTCATTTCCAGGGGAGTCCTCAGGCCTGCAGGGGCCAGCCAGCAGCAGGGGGAAGGCTGCAGAGAGACACCGTCAGCAGATTAAGCCTCAGGGAAGATCAGGAAGCCAGAGAAGATGCTGTCAGACCCTTCAATCCCCACCAGGGAGTTCTTCTCTGTTGGTTCCAGCCAGACAGACTCATTCACTGCCATCTTGAGGACCACGCCACCTGTGGTGACCTGGTAGCTGCTGTGCACGTAGTCACAGAAGGTCACCACCTTCTCACCCCTGCTGCCACCCCAGCCCTTTTTCACACTGAGGCACAGGTTGCTCCTGGAGGTGACGTGGTAGGTGAAGTAGTAGATGCCTGGGACTCGGCAGTTGAAGCGGCCATACCGGTTCTCATAGTGGCCCTTCTCATTGGTGATGATGCGGTCAAAGCGGACGGGATGGTCCCGGCGTGGGTAGGAGCCGATGGTCCTGGCAGCAGAGAAGGCAGACTTGAGGGTGGCCTTGTAGTCACCAGAGTCCCCCTGAGGGCCAGGGGGTCCCATGGGACCTGGTAATCCCTTTGAACCCGGGGGTCCCCTGGGGCCAATCTTCCCAGGATGGCCCGGCTCTCCTGGGTCTCCCATCTCCCCCATGTCTCCTTCGTGCTCCACCTGGCCAGGGGGACCTAGAAAGTAGGATGAAAAGTCATTGTGATTGCAATCGAGCACCACAGATCTGCAGAGGGGGCACTGGGAGAGAAACTGCTGTGCTGGGGTGCGGGCCAATGAAGACCCCTGGCCACCCGGCAGGTGTGACACCCTTTGCTCTTGTGCACCTCCCATCCCCAAGTTCCTTGGGGTCCTCCAGTCTGTCCAGCCCCTTCTGCCTCCAAGCATCATCCCCACCTGATAACACCCCAAAGGGACTGGTGGAAAATGGATTGCTTTCCCAGGACCATGTGCCTGGCACTGCCTTTTCCTGCTCTCAGTACTCACAAAATGACACTTTCCCCACCTGCAGCCTCTTCCTTACCTCGTGCGCCCTTTTGGCCATTCTGCCCATCTCTGCCATTGCTGCCAGGCTGTCCTGGTGACCCTGGGATGCCTGGGATGGTTCCATAGGTCTTGCAGAGTGTGGCACTTGAAAGCTGCCCTCCAGCCAGGCAGATCAGCATCACCCATGTGGTCTGCATCTGCTGGAGCACAGAAGACTGTTGAAGGGCTTGCCTTGGGCAGTGGGAGGGATGGGGAAGGCACTCTGTGCTGCTCTGGAGGATGATGACTAGAAGCACTTCTGGGTAATACCATCAGGGAGGGAAAACATCCTACTGCAGAGCCAAATCTGGTCTCCTGATGGCCTCAGAGGGACCAGCGCCATTTGGGCATGAGAGGGCTTGTCACTGTCTTCCCACTCTTAAATTACCAATTTACAAGTGCCCAGAGCTTCAGCCACATGAATATCTGGGGACAGGTTAGCCTGTCCCAGAGGTCTGATGTCCAGCCTGGCTGTGCTGCTGCCACGGGCATGCGCTGGAGGTCTCTACTGCTCTGAGTTCCCACTGCTCCCTCAGAGGAGAAATTCTCCATCCCATCTTAGGCCCACACCTGCAGGGTAAAATCCTTCCCCAGGACAGAACAGTTTCATCATCTGCAAGGGGATAGCTCTTGCTTTCCACCAGCATACCTGAGGGACAGCTTTGGTCCTTGAGGATGGCAATGAAATCCCCAAACCTGCCCTCCTAACTGCTGTGGGGTCCCGTTGTGTCCTGCCATATGCCTGCTTCATCCTAGAAGCATTTCTGCATCTAACCAGCCTTACTGGGACAGTTGTCTGGGCTTCCAGTTCCTGGGGTCCCATCTTCCATCTGCCCTCCCTGCATCCCACAGCTCAGCTCCTCCCCCCAGATCCTGGTGCAGGTGCATGTGTGGTAAGCACTGGGCATTTGGGGGCTGTATCTGCACATTGCATCACCCCATCCACACTCTGTGGCCTCAGATGGACTTTCCCAGCACTGAAATTCTGTTGTCAGCAGTAAAAGAAGATGGCAAGTTGGATCATTCAGCTGCAGAAACTGTGATTTGGATGCAGCAGGTACCAGGACCGATCACAGGCTCCCAGCCAGGGCCAAGGCAGACGACAAGAGTATCTTAGGGCAGGAGAGCACTCCCATGGCATCTTTCAGACTGATGCTCAGTCCCTGATCACCCCTCTGGACCTTTGCCATCTCCCCTTTCCATTTCCCTCTTCCCCCAGGTGGAGCAGGAGGGGTCGGGGTGCCGTCAGAGATCTCCACCATCCCCAGCCCAAGAGCCCCTTTTCTCTTCTGCCCCAAGCCACAGCAGAGGGCCAGTGAGGCAGGGGGTGACTGTCACCCGTGTGCTCCCAGGTTCCCTGTGTGCTCCTACCTACAGGGGAGAACTGGGGCTTAGCCTTGCCGACGTCGTGCCCTTACCTTGAGCTTCTTGTTGCACAGGTGGAGAGACAGACCAGGACACACCGGCGTCCTGCTTGGAAATGACCATGAGGAGAAGCAGAAGTTTGCTGTAAGGGTTATTGTGAAAGGATCTGGGCCACATCCCTTTTTTATGTTTAGCTTTTGCCCTTTCTTCAGTGGCACTTTCATATCCGCCACGAATGCTGTCCATCAGCTCAGCAGGACATGCTGTCCCAAACAGCACCCTGGGGCCCCTCAGGCATACAGCTCTGGCCCTGGGGAACAGAGGCATATTCGCTTTGCCCTGCATGGTCCCTGGGTCCTGCTTAGCTGTGCTTGCTGTGGGGAATGCTGCCGTGAACTCCAGACAACTTTAGGGTAACCCATCAGGACTGCAGAAATGTGCATGTGCTTAGCTAGCATCCCTCAGGCTTCTCCACACATGCCCAGCTCTGCTGGGAGGTACCGGCAGGCCCAAAGGATGCTACAAGGTCTCAGCATCCATCATCTTGAATCTGTATCCCAGGATCTCCTAAATGTTGCGGATGGGAAGTGATTTCACCCTGTGATAAAAGCATTTCCAGTCCTGCTTTCTGCAGGACTTGAAGCACAGGATGCTCAGGGGAGATGACCTTTTCTACTGTACAATGTGTGCCACCAGGAGGAATCTCCATTGAGGTTTGGTGGTCTCTGTAACCTCCACAGCCATGAGCTCCTTTGATGTGGCTCAGGGAAACCAGTGCTTTCCCTGCCGTGTCCCTGGTGAGTCTGGGACCCTGGGGGTGTCCCAGCAACCAGAGGCACGGCTATGGGGTTTGCTGCATGGTCTGTGGCCCTCTGCAACTGAATTGCATCCACTTGGAGGAGAAGGGGAGTATCAGGACCCCCACCTGGGGTAGTCTTGGTCCCCCCTGGGGGGGCTGTGTGAACAGGTATGGGAACTCTTCCTTTTCTGCAGTCAGTGCCGCTGGGAGTCCTACCCTGTTGAGTAAAGCCAGGGTTGAGAATGGTGTGTAATATGCACTGGTGCTGAGCACAGCCGAGCCAGCGAGGGCTCAGAGGTATTCTGATGCCACCCAGAGATCCAGATGTCATGCATACACACACACGCACACCACATCCGGCCAGCCACACATGGGGTCCACCTGCAGAAAAGTAAGTCATAGAGGAAAAAAGATGCTGGGCCAGGAGCACTGGGGAAGGATTTAATGAGACTTTCCACAGCCAGGTCACAGAAAAGGTGCGGTTGCAAGCCTGCTCCAGGACACCTGGCTGTCCCTGGTGCCAGCCAGGTGGGAAGGGGAGATACACAGAGACACCTCTGGCTCTGACATAAGGTAATGTGGGGTTATCAGGGTGGGTGCACGTGGCAGTGCCAGCAGGACAACAGGGTCTTGGCATGGTCACTCTGGGTCCAGACGCATACAGACGTGCCTGTTGCCCCCCGTTCAGCAACTGCCTGTCCTCAGTCCCCAGGCAAGGGGTTTGTGGCTGGAGGCTAGGGCTGATCCCCTCACTGGGGCTTCCCACCCAGCAGAGAAACCTGGAGCATCAGCAACAGCCTGGCGGTAAGCAGCAGCATTTGCAGGGCAGGGCGAAGAGGCTGGTGTGCTGGTGTGGGCTCTGGTGGTCCTCTAGTCCGGGAAGAGCAGGAACCCCGAGAAGATGCTGTCGGAGCTGCTGATGCCCACCATGCCGCTGTAGTCATTCACTGCCAGCCAGACCTGGTTCCCAGCACCCAGGTGGAGGAGGATTCCACCAGAGCTGACCTGCATGGTGTTGGTCTTGTGGTCACAAAAGCTGGCCATCTTGATCTCGTTCTTGTACAGGATGACACAGAGGTTGGCTGTCTGTGAGGCATGGAAGACAAAGTAGTAAAGACCAGGGATCTTGCAGGTGAACTTGCCCGTAGTGGTGTTGTAGTCGTGGTTGGTGTTGGTGATGACATGGTTGAACACCAGAGGGACATTCTTCAAGGGGTGCTCGCTGGTCTGCCTTGTCACTGAAAATGCTGATTGGTGCTTCTGCTTGTAGCTACCCGGCATACCTGGATCTCCGGCCATGCCCATCATCCCAGGGTCTCCAGGAGGACCAGGGCGACCCATGGGGCCAGTCTTGCCTGGCAAGCCAGGGCTGCCTGGTTCCCCTTTCATGCCCTTGGGCCCTTGTGTTGCAGGAGGAGCCGGGATGCCTGTGGGGTGGTGGGGAGTGAGAGTCAATGTCAATGCCAGGGTGTGGAAAGAGGTTCCTCCAGCCTCTTCCTTTGGGCACGAGAGGCTTGTTGCCTCTCTCCAGCCTCCTCTCCTCCTGCCCTATCCACAGAGGACGCTCTCCACGGCCTGCAAACCAGGCAGACCAACCATGGAGGACTCAATGCCCCCCTTTAACAGCCTGCATGGTTCCCCTCCTTGTTTACTCACCTGGCTCTCCTTTGGCTCCCTTCAGCCCATCCCGGCCATCCTTGCCTGGTACACCTGGCATGCCTGGCAAGCCTGGAATCCCATAGCAGCTGTGAGGGGCATCTCCAGTCACAGCAGACCCCAGATTCAAGAGCAGGAGGATGAGGGCCAGATGGAGCTGCTCCCAGAAGCTCTGTCCCATTTTGGTGCTCTGGAGCATGGTAAGGGAAAGAAAGTACTGGGGTGAGGGGCCACAGCGGGATGGCTTCCAGGCCATGGAGGCAAAGGAGGTACTGTGCTATGAGGCTGACTGCACCAGGAGCATCTGGCTGTGACGGCTGTGCCCTCTGTGTCCCACCCCATACCAATTGCCAGGCGGTGGGGAGATGGATGTGTGAAGGACCCTGGGCTCATCACCACCCCCAGGGCAGCCCCTGATGGCACAAGGGGGATTGGACTTTCAGTCTGGATGGAGTCATGGGTGTTGCAATACCCACGGCCAGCTCCAAGCGCTCCTGGTCCAGTGTCCCGAACCGCCTGCAGATGCATGTGTCCCTGCAGACCGTTGCATCATGCTGCACTGAGGCTGGAGCTCCCTGGACCGAGCCGGTCTCACCCCTCCCCCAGCAGCAGCCTGACTTTCCCAGCTCTGCCCATCAGGATCAAGGCTGGGGAACTCCCAGGACAGTGCCTGACCCAGGGGACTGGGCCTTCCCCCAGCAAGGACGAGCGTGCATCCCCCGCCATGGCATGTGTGCAGCCTGGCAGGGTCTCTGTCACCTTCTCCTCCTCCTCTCACACAGCCCAGCACTCTGCCATGCTGCTGGACCACCACTCCCCAGGCAGACTGCCCCAAAGAGATGGACCCTGCATCACCTCTTACCTCTGGAGAGGGGAGCAGGGCACGGGATCCTGTGCTGCTGAGCCCTCTGGCTGTTGTGCGTGCTGCCTGCTGGCACAGCACAGCATGGGTCACTCTCTGTGACACGCTCCTGGAGGAAGTCACAGAGTTAGGAAAGGGCCCTTGGAGACCCAGAATGCCCAGCTGTCCACCCGCTGAGTTTCACATCCTTCTGCCTGATTGTTTCCTCTGAGCAAGCACTTTCCCAGCTGTCCAGCGAGACCCACGCTTGTGCCACTGCAGCAGCAGGGGCTGGAAGACAGAGGTGAGGTCAGCCTCTGCCAAGAGATGTGCCACAATCCCCCCAGAGCCACCGCCCACTAGCCCTCCACAAATCACCTGCCTTTCACCCATCCTTAACTCATTTCTGAGCAGAAGGGCAGTGTGCGGATGGGAAATAGAGCCTCATGTCAGCTCCATGGAGCCAGAGCCACCTGTGCAGCGAAGGGCTGGTGCAAGGTCATTGCCTGGCTCTGATGGGAGAGACTGCACCCCTAGGCAATGGGACCGAAGGAGGTTTCTCCTTGAGGGTTTCTGACCTACAGGTTGGTTGTCCTCTCTGCACCTTGCCCTATGCTCCACCAGCTCTGCTGGGTGCTGCATTCACCAGGGCCCCAGCATCCCTGGTTGGGGTGTTGATCCTCGCAGGTGACTTGGCCTCCTCCTCACTGCTGCAGGAACAGAGACATTTGGCTGCCTGGCATGTGTGGAGCAGCTCCTCTGAGCAGTAGTCCCGGGGTATGGCACCTGTGTGACTTCCCTGATGCTTTCTGGCTACCTGACGCCTGCCCTACTTCCCACTAGTCTCACCCCAAGCCAAAGAAAGAAGAGCATCGGCCCACAACCCCACCACCCCATCAGTCACCCTGGTGTCCTTGTCCCTCCTAGCTGAAAGGCTGGAGGACCACAGCTACCTTTCCCCTTCCTGGGAGAGTTTCGGTACCAAGAGAAGACCATGCAGGTGAAGTGCGTGATCTGCTGCCTGTACTTATCCTTGTACAGGACAGCTAGCTTGGACTCATCAGAGAAAGGACACACATAGGCTGACCCCAGAGATTTCCCGTTCCTCCCTGTAAGTGCCAGCTCTGCTGGTACACTCAGTTCCCTCCTGTCCTTCTGCCTTTGCAGTTGGGTTCTGTGCTTGGCCAGGGGCAAGCTGGGATCGCTTCTTTCCCTGGGCAGCTTGGGAATGGGCCCAGGATATTTGGGGAAGACACATGAATAGGAAAGAGAACCCAAGCAACCGTCATGAAAAAAGGGTTTATTTATACTGATGGGAAGGATGTTAGAGGCAGTAGTGGCCCGGTGCCAGAAAGGCGTTTGCAATGGTTAGTGTAGCAGCAGTGGCACAGAGTGATTTCCCACTCAGGAGCAAAGAGCCACAGCTGGTGAAAGGCCCCAGTGACAACGGGACACCTCCAGTGTGGGCTCCAAAGACCTAGGAGGAGACAAGGCTGCTGGGGCCAGGAGTCCTCTGCCTCCAGGATGGAGCGGGCAAGCTCAGTGCCTGGTCTCTTTGTGACACTGGTGGAAGCACAGGATCCAGCTGGTGGCTCAATTTGGTGTTGTCCTTTTTTGCTGCGACATAAGACCACCCCATGGGTGAAAACACATGCAGACATGCACACCGCAATGCTCTGGTGCTAAGCAGGTCTGGACTGGTGGTCCATCAGTCCCTCTGTGGGAAGAGCATGAAGCCGCTGAAGACGCTGTCTGCCTCGGAGCCGCTGTAAATCACGCTGCCCCTGGCAGGGTCAGTGCTTACGGAGACCCGGTCACCCACAACCAGGCTGAGCACACTGCTGCCTGAGTTCACCTGCAGGAGGTCACGGCTGTTGTAGTCACAGAAGCTGACCACACGCTCCCTGTTCTTGGTGATGCTCAGGCAGAGGTCCCCGCTGGAGACCACTTGGTAGGCGAAGTAGTAGAGCCCAGGGATGCGGCAGATGAACTCCCCAGTCTGGGGGCTGTAGGAGCTCTCCTGGTTGGTGATGATGTTGTCAAACACCACCGTCCTGCCCATGGATGGTGGGGACTTCCGCGAGGCAGAGAAGGCAGGACGCGGTTGCTCCAGGATATTGCCAGCTTTCCCCTTGACCCCCATTGGCCCTGGCTGGCCTGGGAGCCCGGGGGGGCCAGGCGGGCCGTGGTAACCCTGGTTCCCTGGGATGCCAGGAGGTCCCGGCTCACCCGCATCCCCTTTGAGTCCCCGGATGCCTGTCCTCTGTGCTGATTTCCCTGGGGAGAGGTGGTGAGTAGGAGCAGTTCATGCACATCTGGCATCTCCCAAGCTGCTCCCACAGCCCGTGATGCTTCTACCAAGAAGCCTAAGGCTCCCAGGCCACCCACACCACACATCCCTGGCTCTTCCTTACCTGGCTCTCCCATGTCCCCCTTCTGCCCTGGCCTTCCATCAAGGCCAGGGATTCCTGGGAAGCCGTCCTTGCCAGCCGGTGCCCAACACAAACCATCCTCAGGCAGGGCCATGCCCAGCACTGCTGCCAAAGTGGTGGTCGCCAGCCAAAGCCCAATTTGCATCCTGCCTGCAAGCACAGGGGTGGAGGGATTGCGGGTGGAGGCAAGCACGCGGCAAACACATAGATGCACCTTGGACACAGACACACAAGCACTCTCAGATGCATGCACAGATCTACCACACCACCCATGTGTTGCCCAATACAGATAGCTGGATACCATATCCAATGGTGAAAATAACTTCATGGAAGGATTTTTAGGCAGTTTCCTTAGGTGATCTGAAATCACTGATGTTACTGAAAATCTCTGACATGTGCCTATGGTGGGGCTGTGGGATTGGAAAGCCATGTGGTGCACGGCACAAATGCTTTAGTGCATGTCCTAGGGACATGTGGTCGCATGTCAGATGCATGCAGAGGATGCTTATTCTAGTGTTGGGGGAGCAAGCACTGATGTACAGAGCAGTGGTCCCATGGGATGGAGAGCACAAGTGAGGAAGGGGTGCAGAGGCATGAGAGACAAGAGATAAATAGGAAAGGGATAAACAGGCAAAAGGGGTCCAGATCTCCAACACACAGAGCTGGGAGAGAGAAGGGATGTCCTGAGCACACAGACCTACCCCAAAACCTGGAGTACTCAGACTGGGACAAGCCTTCAGAGCCCACATGACCATGTGGTGTCCACAACCACATGGAGCAAGGACAGATTCTGGCAGTCCCCTCCCTCCCCCACATCATCTTCTCACCCTTTTCCTACTTTAAACCCCTGTGGAGGGGGGAGTTGAAGAAAGGAGGGGGACAGGGAACAAGGACTGGAGAGCGGCGGCAGAGGTGGCATGTGTCCCTAGCTGTTCAGAGTGACTTACCGTCTTGCTGGGGCTGAAGACAGACCAGTCTGAGCAGCAGCTCTGTGTGCTGGAAGCACTTCCTTGGGAGCAGGGAGGAAGAGGAGCAGGGTGGGGGGATGTACTTGCATGCCCGCTGGTTTGCCTGGTTGGGAAAGAGAAGTGCCAAGTTTCACTTTCTCTGCATGAGAGAGAAACTTGTTCCCCTTTCCATGCTTGACCGTGGCTGTGCTGGTCACACTCAGGGAACAGCTTGGTCAGCAAAAGTGCAGGACCACAGAGCTCCCAGGCTGGCCCAGTAGCATAGTCCCTGCTGCAGGGACCAGTGGTGACTGGGCACAAAGGGGCACAAAGCAACACAAAGGTGGGGGTTGCCCAAAGGCATGCCCCAGCTCTGTCACTGCAGCAGGGGACAGCTGCTGTGAGCACTGGGTGGCATGGCCGCTTGTCAGGGCCCAGGGATCATTCTTGATGGCTCCCAGTCTGGGTGATGGGCAGAGCAGGGCTGTCACTGGTACCCAACCTTGTCATCACTGCTGCTGGGGGCTGACCCCTCCAGATGCTCACCTTGGCGCCGCACCCTGACAGAGCAGGGCTCCAGCAAAGAGACCATCAGTGTCTGTGCACCTCAGCAGGGCCTCCAGCATCCTTCATGAGACATCTCCTTCTGATTACCCTCACTTCAGTAGTTTGGGAACCTTGTCTCTGTAGCAAAGCAGAAGATGGGGTCTCTGGCACCCAGGTCACTCCTGGTCCCCTTTGTGGGGGAGTGGCTGTGCCTTGCACCAGCCAGATCTGGGCAACCCCAGGAGCTGTGTGTGGCCTTACCCAGACCTACAAAATTAAAAAGCCAATGGCTCTCACCACCGAGCCCAGGGAAGGTGCCCAGGGATGTGGATTCAGCTCTGCCACAAAAAGGGCCAAAAGGCCACCAGTACACAAGCTCCACCATGGCAGGGAGCAGAGGGATGAGATGTGCAACAATGACCCCAGCAGGTGAACATGCTTGGGACCCTGGAGACCAGCCAGGCCACCCCACGGGGGATGCAGTGGACAGCTAGGAGGGGCTTTCTGTTCCGTATTGACCTGGAGCGTCCTTTCAGTCCTGTGGCAGCTGCACTGACCTTCATGAGACAACAGTGTTGGGGTCCCCAGAGCAAACACAGCAGCAGCTGGAGCTCAGGGGAGAGTGTTCAAGGAAAGATGATGGTGTGCAGGCCTGGGAGCAAGGTGGTGCCAAAGCTAAGGGAGGCTGGCAAACCCTCCGTTTCATTCCCCCTGCCTGTCACCTCTAGTGGTCCCATGGACAGCGTTGCAGTGTTTCCAAAAGAGCTGAAAAAGGGAATGACTACCGTGAGACCAAAAATCTGCCCCAGAGACCCTTGCTGGACAAAACTTCACTCGTCAGTGCATCTCCATTAATAATTACCTTCAGAGATCTGTCACTGAGCTGGTCTTTAATTCATTGAATATATGCCCTCTTAATGCAATATAATACACATTTTTAATCAAAACGTCACCCCATAATAAATCAGATGCCCAGAAGAAATGCAATTTTATTTTATCAGCAGAGTTCCCCTATCAACCAGACCTGTAATCGTGTCAAGAAAAGATGACAGGTGAGTTTGAAAAGACCTACCTTCCACAAAACGGTGTTTCTGGACAGTAATTGTATTTCTGCCCTATTGCCCTTTGTTAATACACAGCCAAAATGAGACCACTCCATCATTTCATCCAGGATTGATTGATGACTGTGTCCCGGTGCTCCTATGTCCTTTGTCCCTGCCTGTCCCCTTAACCCCATTCAAATGCTGAATTACAGGGAGCTGGTTAAGAGCTTCCAGCATCTCCTGAAAGCTGGTGTTGGTCCAGGAGGCACCTCCTCCAGGCCCTTGAGACTCCTGAGCAGTGCTTAGCCCACTCGCTTGACTTTGAGTGTTGCTGTATTCAAGCCAAGCCTTCCTCTCCCGCCCTCTGGGCTGCAACAGAAGTGTGGCCAGCAGGTCAAAGGAGGTGATTCTGCCCCTCTACTCCACTCTCATGAGACCCCACCTGGAGCACTGCATCCAGCTCTGGAGTCCCCAACTTAAGAAGGACATGGACCTGTTGGAGCAGGTCCAGAGGAGGCCACAAAGATGACCCGAAGGCTGGAGCACCTCTCCTATGAGGAGAGGCTGAGAGAGTTGGGGCTGTTCAGCCTGGAGAAGAGAAGACTCTGGGGAGATCTTATTGTGGGCTTCCAGTACCTAAAGGGGGCCTACAGGGGAGCTGGGGAAGGACTTTTACTAGGGCATGGAGTGATAGGATGAGGGGGAATGGCTTTAAACTGGAAGAGCTCAGATTTAGATTAAACACTAGGAAGAAATCTTTCACTTTGAGGGTTGGTAAGGCACTGGCGCAGATTGCCCAGAGAGGTTGTTGAGGCCCCATCCCTGGAGGTGTTCAAGGCCAGGCTGGACGTGGCCTTGGGCAACCTGGTCTAGTGAGAGGTGTCCCTGTCCATGGCAGGGGGGTTGGAACTGGATGATCTTCAAGGTCCCTTCCAACCTAAACCATTCTATGGTTCTATGATCTCCCTCCTCCTGATCTGCAGCAGTGACTTCCGCAGCTCCAGAGGACGGCTGGCTGTGGGGAGCCATGGATGAGCATCGCACGGTGCCATCCCGGAGGCTTCTGCAGACCGTGACTGCCAGCACAGAAACACCTCCAAGCTGGCACACCCCTCCTTCCCCTTCCCACCAGCGTGTGCCTGGGCGCACAGTGAGGGCCGTGCCCGGCGTGGCACCGGCAGCGAGGTGACACGCCACGAGGTGGCAGTGCTGCCTCAGCCATGCTCGGTGTCACTTGCCCGTCGGGGCTCCTCTTCCTCCTCCAAAAGCAGGGGCAGAGGAGACCCCTGGGGGGACCCTTGTGTCCCCAGAGGCCGCACCGCAGCGTGTCCAGCTGCAGAGCAGGCACAGGGACACCGCTGCCTCGGCACCCAGCAATCACACCGCAGGAGCCAGAGTAACCCTGCTCCCTCTGCAAACACAGCCCCAGTGGGGCCACAGGCACCATTCCCCAAAGCTGGGAGTAGTCTGGCACCCCCTGAGACTAGGGTAGAAGTGGTGTTCCCTCAGTGAGGGCCAAGCCATGGTGGAAGGTGCGAGGGATCAAGGGCAAGGATGATGGAGGGGACCCCTGGATGACATGAAATAGGGCCAAGCCCAAGGCAGAGGGGAAGGCGGGTGATGCTGGAGTAGCCAGAGGATGTAAGTGCTCTGCAGAGCCCCAGGCGGGACACAAAACCAGCCATAAGGAGGACAGCCGTGGGCCTGAGGAGACCTGACCATTCTGGTGAGCATCTACATCATTGGGGTGCCTGCCACTGCCTCCTGGTCCTGCTGCAGACCCAAGACCAGCCTTGCTCCAGACAGATTGTACCTTGAGCAGCCCTTCTCCTTTCAGGATGGGCCATGGAGCACCTCCATCTCTTCCTTGCTGCCCTCCCACCTGGTGGGGCCAGGCAAGATCTGTCAGTGCCATCCCAGCCTTGCACCCCTTGATGGAAGAAAAGTGACCCCTGCAAAGCCTCCTGCCTGTGTCCCCAGTGCCTGCAGGCACACACGAGCTGCTTGACAGCAGACAACAGGGAGAGATGCTCCTTCTCAGCCTTCCCTGCTGGGCAGCCCCTGGGGTGCTGAGCGGTGACAGGCAGGAGCTGCCAGAGGAGGATAAATCAGGTAGCTAGCACCTAGCTGTCACTGTGCAGGAGACAGCGACAAAGGCAAGTGGTGAGAGATCAACAGTACAGGCAGGTACCACACGCATCTCTGCTGCCAGTCACCAGCATCCCAGTCTGCTACCCGCACCCACCAGGAGGCTGGGACAGCTCAGAGCATCCATGTTCCTGCAGTCCATGGTGGCTTAATGATGCCCAAATAACCGAGCCCGTTTCACTGGCAACCTGTGATTTTGCCCCTGTTGGAGCTGGCCTGTCCCAAAATGCTCAACCCGTGCTGCAGACCACCAGATGAACTTGCTCTGCAATGCAATGGTGTTTGCATGAATTCTGAAGTCTCCCATGTTTCGATCAATGAAACAAAAAGCCAGGATGGTTCAGGTGCCCTGGGAGGATTTCCTGAGATGTCAGCTGGAAATCAGGCTGCCAGGTCACTTGCCACGCAATGTCTAAAATGTTTTAATTGCTGTCCCAAGGGGATGTGTTATTCCTGTGACA